GTTTTTAGTCTAGTGGTAGAGTGTCTGGCTGGAGACCAAAGGGTCACTATAGCCTCACCAGAACCATCAGCATTAGTGGAGGTTAAAACCCATGAAGGAAGAATTCAAGCTATAGATGTAATTCAAACCCCAGCAGCTAAAAACTGTGTTTTTCATTACTCCTTCCAATTACATGGCTATAGATGGACTTTTGCTGATATCAAAATATTTACTTACCTTTATTAGCACAAATTTGATGACGTTATCTAAAGACTGCTTTGTAAGCATCTATGTGGTTGCATTTTGTTTACTTCAGCAATATATCTTTCACACTCTTGATCGTTTTCCAATCCATGTTTATGAACAGCAATTAAGCTTATCACCTGAATATATCATAAAATGCTAACTCTACATTGTCAGTGTTTATATTAAAATTTTCATAAATTTTTCAATTAAGTTATTGTTATGGAATTTTCAAAAAGGGAAAAGTATTTCAAATGTATATTCGACAAATCATGGAAGAAACTAAATCTCGGAGACATAATGGTACAACAGACTTAGATATTGGATAGTAAGTCTATGATGGTAGGCCTACTGAAAATGAAACTAAAATACAAACTTCTAGTTTAAGAATAATGTCAGAAATCTGTTACACTTTCAAATATATCTGATCATCTATGCTTCTATTTTTAAACATTTTTTCAGTTAAGTCATGAAATAAAGACCTTATTGCAGAAATATCTAGAAAATAAGAAACTTTAAAAGTATGGACAAAGGGAGATAAATTAAACACAGTAGAGATATAATTATTCTTCCAGAGAAGAAGCATAGTAATATCTGCATGAAATAGTTCCAATATTTATCTTATATACATTATTTATATCAGCATCAACTACTTCATGGACACATTTTATATCCTTTCAGTGAAGGCATAAATGCCTTGTTAGGTCTTTTAGTGGTACCAAATTCTGTCCAAGCGTTAAATAGCCTAGCTAGCAGCTGACCAGGGTGATGTTATATATGCTGAGAATCTCACAGATGCACAATGTCTAAAACATCAATAAAAGATTTCAACATTAACAGAATACAACAGGAAAACATATAGGGTTTTAAACTTTCTACACCTGAATTACCATGTTATAGTCAGGGGAGATAATTTGGTACATATAACAAACTTAATCTATAAATAACTACATGTTGTAACATTAAATTTGTACTGTAAGTACAAATGACAAGTCTACATCTGTAAGCATTACATATTAGTATTTCTACTGAGTTAGCAAAGCTATGGACAGAGTCATTGAAGTCTGGAATTTATACTAAAGGCAAAGAAAATCAAATATCTTTATCACCAGAGAGAAAAGAGAAAGTGGGCCTCCACCTCCTAAACTGTCTACAAGTCAGACTAGTCCAGACACAACATGATCTGTTTACAAGTCAGACTAGCCCAGACACAACGTGATCTGTCTACAAGTCAGGCTAGTCCAGACACAACGTGATCTGTCTACAAGTCAGGCTAGACCAGACACAACGTGATCTGTCTACAAGTCAGGCTAGTCCAGACACAACGTGATCTGTCTACAAGTCAGACTAGTCCAGACACAACGTGATCTGTCTACAAGTCAGACTAGCCCAGACACAACGTGATCTGTCTACAAGTCAGACTAGCCCAGACACAACGTGATCTGTCTACAAGTCAGACTAGCCCAGACACAACGTGATCTGTCTACAAGTCAGACGAGTCCAGACACAACGTGATCTGTCTACAAGTCAGGCTAGTCCAGACACAACATGATCTGTCTACAAGTCAGGCTAGTCCAGACACAACGTGATCTGTCTACAAGTCAGGCTAGTCCAGACACAACGTGATCTGTCTACAAGTCAGACTAGTCCAGACACAACGTGATCTGTCTACAAGTCAGGCTAGTCCAGACACAACGTGATCTGTCTACAAGTCAGGCTAGCCCAGACACAACGTGATCTGTCTACAAGTCAGGCTAGCCCAGACACAACGTGATCTGTCTACAAGTCAGACTAGTCCAGACACAACGTGATCTGTCTACAAGTCAGACTAGCCCAGACACAACGTGATCTGTCTACAAGTCAGGCTAGTCCAGACACAACGTGATCTGTCTACAAGTCAGGCTAGTCCAGACACAACGTGATCTGTCTACAAGTCAGGCTAGCCCAGACACAACGTGATCTGTCTACAAGTCAGGCTAGCCCAGACACAACGTGATCTGTCTACAAGTCAGACTAGTCCAGACACAACGTGATCTGTCTACAAGTCAGACTAGTCCAGACACAACGTGATCTGTCTACAAGTCAGACTAGCCCAGACACAACGTGATCTGTTTACACTACTCTTAAACATCATCTACCACACTTTCAAAAACATATTGCTCTATGGGTGATACAACATGGACAGATACTAGCCACACCTAAGTAATACAAAATGGACAGATACCAGCCACACCTAGGTGATACAACATGGACAGATACTAGCCACACCTAGGTGATACAACATGGACAGATACTAGCCACACCTAGGTGATACAACATGGACAGATACTAGCCACACCTAAATGCGAAACAACTTCTATATAAATATTTCCTTGAAAAAATTCAATGTGATGGGAAAAATCAGTCAAAAATCAAAAAGTTGTCTCCCTTTGTACATACTGTTACCTGTTATCTCTTCATAGACACCACTTGTTAGCTTATCTCAGCTAATTGAGGCGCATTGAATACTGGTTAAGACAACAGGAATTCTGAAGAGTTGTTGCATTGCACTATCATTTGAATTTAGAATTCAATAAGAAACAACCTAATTGAATGAACAAAAACCTACTCATTATCTATCCCCTTCTGTGTTTGGCTAGAGAATTACTCATAAAACAAGATCTCTAGCTTCCTTGACGGTCAGGTGAGATAAGCAATATTTAATATACAGCTTAAACGATAGTTATGAAGTGTCATGTAACAGAAATTGTGACACTGAATATAGGAGCTGGTGTCAATACATGCACAACATTAAAACTGTCATCCTATACTAATAATTCTTATAAAGTTATTTCCAGTGGAAAATGACCTCCCAAGGAAGAAATGTGAGACTTATTTTGGTAATTAAAGCACCTGAAGATGCTTCCATTCCTACAGAGTATTTGATCCTACCTTATCTGGGTGCTGAGAAAATTTTTCTTGAAATTTAAATCAATTTAAGCCCTTTTGGCCCTGCCTATCAGCCCCTGGAGGTCAGCTAGAATCAATAAGTACACACCATCAAGCCGTCATCCTTTACTCATAAGTCTACTTAAGTTTGAAATAATTGCGATGGAAAATAAACAAATCATGCTCACAAATCTAGTTTTCGTACATAAACTACAGTAAACTTTACCCCCTCCCCACAGGGAAATGTGAGACCCTGGGACCATTTAATTCACAATTCTGGTAAAACACCTTCAGATGCTTCCATTCATGAAGAGTATTTGATTCTACCAGATCTGGGTGCTGAGAAGAAGATTTTTTAAACCCAAGTCACTTTTGGCACCGCCCTCAGGTCCCAGTGGGGTAGGGACTGTATGATACACAATTTCTGGCCAGGGAAGGTTTGTGCAAAATTTCATTGAAATCGGATCAGGGGTTTTGGAGAAGAAGTCGAAAATTGTTTACAGATGCCCGACGCTGGAAGAAGGTGATTGCAATAGAACACCATGAGACTGTGTCTAAGGCAAACTAAAAAAAGTTACAAAAATTACTACACCAAATCACAAACTTTTCCCTACCTATAAGCTACTTTAATATTCCTTTATCAAATACATCACAGATATGATAGGGTTCTGTTCGGCTTTCCATTCAATTTTGCCTATTTATATTACTGGGTACCTGCAAGCTGAGACGAGGCAAAGTCTAGTACAAAGCTATTAAAAGGAGCTATCTTCTAATAAATGCAAGTCCGAAACCCCTTTAATGAAAGCTGAACAAACACCAGTATATACACAGTCATAGTCACAGCAAACCTTGGCACTGAATGCAAGAAACTAGCTGTAGCTGAATGCCACCTCACAAATGTCAAAATTTCTTGGCTGAACTTTAGTTTCAATTTCTTATAATTAATATATTATGTGTCTTTAATTTAAAATGTAGTTTGGGCAGAAATGGTGTTGACATTGAGTTGTGAGTGAGAAGTAGAGGTTTTGGGTGGAGCTGGGGTTGTGATGGGGCTGGGCGTTTGGTTCGGGTTTGAGTGGTGGTTGGTGGGTAGGTATTGAGACTGTAAGAGTTTGAAGAGTGGTTTGATCTACTGAATCACATCACATAGTTCTCATACTTTAAAATATTTTCTCAAATATAATATTTAGAGATTTCCTAGATATTAAAGCAAATACTTTTCTTTTTGACTTGATGTCCATACCAAAATATTTTGATTCAATCAAACAAATTTTGTCTGCCGTAAACCAAATTTCTTTCACAGTCATTAACTGTTTCCTTATCAGTTGTCTTGGTTTTGGTAAAGGATTATTTTTTCATGGCATTTATTAGCTAAAGCACATGAAATAAATTACATGTAAAAGAGATTTGGTTTACTGTGTGTTATAGCCTAGCTTCTCCATGGTTTTAACTTACAGAAAAAACAAACAAGAATTGAAACAGTTGTATCACTCAAATCTGTCTGTTAAGGCCACTCAAGGGAGCAGAGAAGAATGGTCTTTACATACAGGTGACAATTAGAACAGGTTTGACTTTACAACATTGAATGTCACAAATCATGCTGTTACTTTTCGTTATCTTCTGCAAGACAAGGACCATTATGTTTTTTATGTGATTTTTTTTTCTGAAACAAAATGAAAAATCAGCAACATGAAATTTGGTGCCAGATAACTAAGGATTTTCTTATTGAATATGTCTAGATTGTCAAAGCATCAGTGTGGCCCTACCAATGTCACACACTTGTGCCAGAGTAAGTACCAATGAGAAGCTAGGCTCAGATACACCCAAAGCTAGCTCCAAACTAAAATTACCCGTGCCATCTAACGAGGTTTCACTGTGGTGTCGCCCTAAATAGGGAGCTGCTGTCACACCATTCACATCTGTCCCCTGTACAACGAGAAACAAAAAACATTTAATACAGACTATACAACAGTAACAATTTCTTTAAAATAATAGAATTTCTAATTGTTTTGTAAGTCAAAGTGATTTATAAAATCCGGTTAGTCAGACCACACTACAGAGCACCTAGAATTTGTTACTTTATGTATTAATGCAGCTTTAAGTGACTACTCAGTAGATAATTAAGAATAATGCCAACCATTATATCATTTAAAAAGCTTATAACAATAATAAGGAGATTTTGTTAACAATCTGAAGGAAGAGTTCTGAAACTTCTCCCGAACTTTAACAAACAAACAAACAAACAAACAAAAAATATTCTACTTAGTCACATTATCATAAGCCTTCTTGCAAAAACAATTCAAAACTCAGCAAGAGTTGCTTCCCTTTTAATACAGTATTCTTTACAGAAGCAATTCTGTTCAGATTTTTATTATGTACCTTTCCATCAGCACGGTTGGTCTCGATGTCACCTGGAGATTTAGATGCCTACAAAAGATAAATGAAATATCTGTCATTTTCAGTGTTTTATAATCAATTTATACACCCAAAGCCACAATTTTAACGATGATATTAATGTTGTTCTATAAATTTTCCTGTTCCGATAATTAAATCCGACTCAGAAACTACTTACCAACATATGAAAAAGTCTAGGTTTCTCAGTTTCTAAAAAGGATTAAGGATAAGGAATGTCTCTTTCCATATTATATACCCAGGTTTAGTAGAAACACCTGATATCCCAAAAACAATGCTATCAGGTGAAACATCAATTTTGTGGCTGTGACAAATGACAGGTCAAACAATCCTTCTACTCTGATAAAAAGACACATATCTCTGGTAGAGTGTAATTTTTTCCCACTAGGTACATGAATTTTATTGGTGTCTAGAAATGAAAAATAATACCCTCTTAAAAATCATATATCTTTCTTATTAATGTATTTCATGGGTTTTTTTTTCACTGATAAAGATATTTCGTAAAATAATTTCTCCTTCACTGCTGTCACACTGACCACTTCTAGTTGCTATAATATTCAAAAAGTCACAGTGACCTATTATTATAATATTGAGAAAGTCACAGTGACCTATTATTATAATATTGAGAAAGTCACAGTGACCTATTATTACAATATTGAGAAAGTCACAGTGACCTATTATTACAATATTGAGAAAGTCACAGTGACCTATTATTATGATATCCAGAAAGTCACAGTGACCTATTATTACAATATTGAGAAAGTCACAGTGACCTATTATTATGATATCCAGAAAGTCACAGTGACCTATTATTATAATATTGAGAAAGTCACAGTGACCTATTATTATGATATCCAGAAAGTCAGTGATCTATTTTACTTCTTATAAATACTACAAGTGTAAATCGTTCTAATTTTGATTTTCTGGTCATCCTTCAAAATATATCCATGTATACAAAGTTAGACAACCATTGCAATGCAAATGAGCTAAACACAGATAAACGGAGATGTTCCCCAGACAGACACACTCATTTAGACGGCAAACTCTTCTCTTGGATAGAACAACATTAATATTATACCTATCCTTGACACTTGAGGAAAGCTAACAAGGTTTCATGCTTCTGCTGGCAGATCAATACAATTATCTCTATACGAGGATCATTATCATCTTATACCAGTCTACACCCAGGACTGCGAAGAAACAATGGAGCATACCTCCTATTACAGTCAAATATCAGAGTTCAGAGAGCATCACAATTGTCAATTACATGGAACCATTTTCTTGAAAATCAAATGACAAAGATACAACCATTACAAGGAGTTTGTGTCGTTATGGTCCCCTCCAAAAAAAAAAAAAAAACAACTTTTGTAAATTTTATATTTCTATTCAAGAAATGACCAGAAAATGATTATACGACAAGCATGTTCCTGCTTTGATGAAGTAACAGCTTGATGAACAAGGAAAATGAATTGAAGATGAAGGTCAAAGTGACCTTCATTAATATAATGATGTAAGTTATTGATGTAACCACAAAATCTAACCCAAGAAATGGAAGTAAACACAACAAAACAGAAGTCTAACATATTGTATACATTAAATGCTGGAAACATGTTATGCCCCAAATCTTTTTCTTGAAGAATTTATTTCTGTAAGAAAGACTGGCGTCATTGCATATATTTGTCTGTAACATTATTGATTGCAAACACATGCATATATTAACTTTCATAATCTTAGCTTTTCAGCAGTATAACTCAGCTAGAAAATTAGGAAAACCCACTCACAAACACAATTGTGAAGCAAGAGTTTAAAGAGAACCTTTTAATATAAATGGATGAACACTAAGTAAAACTCCCTACCTCTATTACAGAACAGGTGAACTCTGGGGACCATAGATTTCAGGACAGAACAACAGTCTGACCACACTGTGGTCCCATGACACACCAAACCTTGATTTCTTCATAGCAACATGACAGATATCCATCAACCTTCAGACAGCTAAATCTTTCCACAAAATAGGAATACTGTTATCTCAGGAGACTTGAAATACAGTGTCCTTAATTGTCATAGAAAACCTCCGATCAGTTCTAGAAGATTAATATAGATTATTCTTGTGACTATTCCATCAGAAATTAACTATAAAAACAACACTATTTTTAAGATTATCATCTAATTCTGAACCTGTCTGGTTCCCTAGAGACATGATGGTGGTGGGGAGGGTGCGGGGGTGTGGGGGTGTGGAGAGGAATTATGATATGAACTAAGGGGCCAAAGCATTAGTTAAAAGTGTATTTCTAGAAGGAATTTAATAAATATGAGCAGAATTTCATATCACAAAACATCTATTGCACAAATAGGGATCAACATAGCAGATTCATTTCCTTGATATATTGCTGCCAAAATCTGACAAAAGTCTATCTCTATACAATAAAACATTTATAAACCTGAACAGAATTTTTTTATTTCTTTATTTTCCTGCTCCGTATGGACATACAAAATAAATTTTTTCGTGCATCACAATTTTTATGGAAAGACTGCCATGGAAATGTCTCAGACATTCTTCAACAGCAAAGTACAAGGTCTGATCAAACCTGACATGTGACTGATATGTAAAAAGGTTGGATTGAATCTGAATATGTCTGTTTATTTAAAACTCCATAAGAACACAGAAATATCTGCAATACATTATTTCTTTGGTATTCCTAACATCCAACATCTGCGTGTCCTACGATCTGTTCTTATATTGTCAGGAAATTGTCCATGCAGGAGCCTTTTGATTAATGTCATGCAGTAATATAACATTCTATAATGGGAACAGACAAGAGATGTTCATGTCATCACAACATATGATCTTCTCATACAACAAACAAAAGGTCTCGACATTATAACACCATAAATATCATTCTCAAATGTCACAGGTTGCTGTCTAACAAATCAAAATGCGTATGGTCGTTGTCAAACAAAGCAAATTAGAAAATCTTTTCTTCAATAATGATATTTCTGTTCCGCGTATGTAACTGGTAAAGGGCAGAGTGAAAGATGACAATGAAATGTCTAAAATGTTTTGTGTAACATGATTCTAATCTCACATTATATATAATGGTACAAAGAAGGTAATATTCTCTATACTGTAACCATTTTTGCCAAACTCATTATTACTATATCTCTTTTGTAAAGAAAATGAATCAATTTCAAGCATGTGAAATGGAAATTTTTATAGTTTTAACTTGATTCATGAATGTTTTATCATCGCAAGTTTGGCTTATGGTGAATACAAATAAAAAGATCTTTAAGGACAAATGCCTTAAAAGAAACCAAATAAAAAAAAAAAAAAAAAAAAAAAATAGAAAATACAAAAATAAAGTGAGTGGATGGTCTAAAAAAATCCATATTGACCAATGACTGAAAAAATCAAATAAGCACTAGACGTTACTAGACTCGGGTGTCAGAAAAAATCTTGAAAAAAGAAAGTGAAAGAACCATTGTGTAATGATGATGTATTGCATGCTTTCTATTTTTGTTAATGGTGGAAAAATCAGGAGAAGTTATCTGTAGATTTCCACTTCAATATCTGACTCCTTTCTCCAGGAATCCTTTGATGTTTTTGGATTTTATTCTTTAAAATACAAATTAGTTGATAATTGCTAGTGATTCTGAGGTATTAATTACTGGGGTGATTACTTCCTTGATATTTAACTCTAATGGCGTGACCCTGAAGGTGGAACACTGATCTATCAGAACTGCTCCACATTGCCAGAGACAAATTAGACATAGAATGGCTATCAATCACTTGATGAAAGGAAATTTTTTTTTAAACATTTGAGAAGAAAAAATCAATAATTTAAATGCAATGTATTCTAGAGCTCGTAAAATAAATATAGACCTTTAATATTTTTCACACTGATGTAGAAATCATGATCTGTTTTCCGAGTCCTATCTTTCCCAGTCAGTGATTAACATCAGCACAACTCATTATTAATGCTTTGTCTGTGTTAAAAACTATACAAAAAATCCTAACCAATGTTTACTGTATACAAAATGTACTACAGTACTGAACTTACAAGAGAAATGGATTTCACAGGAATCGTCTACAACAACATTACATATGACATATCTCATATTTGTCCATACATGGCTGTGGATATCTGTCCAGCTAATGGACTTGGTCAGAAAGTTATGAACTTACTTTGTGTAAACTGTCTAGGAATACAATGGGTGACTGACTGCATCACCATGAGAAATGGGCGTTTGATCAGCAGTCATACGACGTACAATGCTAAGATGTCTGACAGAAGTCTACTGAATGATGACTATCTATTTTGTCTGATAAAAGTTTTGTGAATACAGAGTGTGATTTAAACATAGCACAATTGACAGTTGAATAATGGGATTTTATATAGAGAGATTCATCTGTACCAAAGCCTCATCCTTGGTAGTGTTAAGACCTAGGGGGGGTATTTGACCCCTAGACCACCTTGATGGTATAATGACCTAGAGGAGGTATTGGGCCCCTAGTTCACCTAGGTGGTATAATGACCTAGCTGTGGTATTTGACCTTTAGTCTACTTTGGTGGTGTAATGACCTAGGGGTTTTATTTGATCCCTAGTCTACCTCTATTGTGTAAGGAACTAGGGGTGGTATTTAGCCCCTGGTCCATCTTGGTGGTGTAATGACCTAGGGGTGATATTTGGCCCCTAGTCCATCTTGGTGGTGTAATGACCTAGGGGTGGTATTTGGCCCCTGGTCCATCTTGGTGGCGTAATGACCTAGGGGTGCTAGGGGTGATCCAGCTTGGTGCAATGACCTGAGGGGGGTATTTGACTTCTTGTCCTTCTCACTGTAATGACCTGAGGGAGTTATTTGACCTCTAATCCTGCCATAATACTGCATCTCTCCAGTACAGATTTGAAAATTATCCTGGTCCAAGTTTTAATGATACAAAGTTTCTGTTTTAAAGTCTTTATGTAACAAAGAACAAAGCTAATTATATCAGAAAATATTTCTATGATAAAACATCATCAACACTAAATTAAAACTGTTAGAAAAAAGTAGATATTATGTGATAAATAATGTTTGTATACATTATATCCAATATGTATTCTAGAACCTTTCAATGAATACTGAGCTTACTCCAGCACTTTAACAGAATACATATATGTATCTGTTTTCCATACTTTTTCAATAACTGATATCAACAATGCTTACTCCCGTAAGCACACAATGTTACTTCATTCAGAAATCGATAATAAATTTCCGACTTGTACAATGACCTTCAGTTTTTGCTGTGGCCTTGACCTTCATCAGAAAAATCTGTTTGACTCCTGGGATTTGTATACAACACTTCTGCTTAATCTTGGTAGAATGATTTAGCCAACAATGTGCTATCACATTTTACGTCTTGCTATGGCATTTGAGCCCTTACTGTAACCTTTCCAGTGACCTTACAGACCAAAAATTTAGAAAGTAAGGTGACATATGCTTTAGTAATCACTACAGGTAATGAAACACAATTTATTTATCCAACGAAAAGTCTATAACCCCACCTTAATAAATGCTGCAGAATTACCAACAAATACTATTTCAATGTCCTGTATGTAGTAAGCCTATCCTTGGCTTTAAGTCGGACAGTATATGTATTGACCATATCAATGTCGGGAAATCTTGGGGTATGATGACGTGATGGAATGTTTTCCATTTATTCTAAATTGCTATTTCAGTCATATTTAAAAAACAATATGGCCATGGGCCTTAACGGTCATCTTTCAGCAGGGAGAAAGGTTATTTTTCTACTTTGAATAAAATCTTACTAAGAAGCTATTTTCCATTATGCAGATGGTAGTTTTGGTGAGGAGTAGGTAACTGTAACAAGTGTTACCTATTTTTTACAGTAATGTTGGAGCTCAATCCAACTGGTGATTTGAGAAGAAGTTTGAAATAGGTGTTGCAAGAAAAAAACATGATTGTGCAATCATGTTACAAAATGGCCTTCCTGGCTGCCATATCGACAAAGAGAAAAAAATAACAACGCTCTGTTGGCTACCTTTCCTTAACATTCCCACCAATTTTTAAGCTGAATGGCACCAGTGGAACAGTGTAAAATTATCTTATAACTTCAGAACAGAACAAATGCCAGAAGCAATATCATCTTAACTTGTGTAAACAATCTACAAAAAATAACACAGTAAAAAGTTTTCATTTATCATTAAACAATTATTTACTCCAATTATGTTCCTGGGAATTGGTTTGAAATTTAAGAAATACACACCAACACATTTTATTTAGTCTGGTGTATGAACCCCCATGTCCATAAATCAAAACAAATAAATGTTTAATGCTGATATAAATATTTTTCAAAAAGCCAACAACCTTTTAACAAATCTAATTGATGATTTTATCATCACCCATGAAAGTATATTGAAAAATTTCGCATACTATGCATATTATGGAAAACACAATAATAATAAGGAAATTCAGAATAGTTTTTTGTCATTATTCCACTTGGAAAAGACAATTAAGTCAACTTTGTATATTTACTTATAATAAGAAGCTAAAATTCAACAACATACAGCATAGTTCCAAGGACAGTGGACTCAAACCGTTTGGTCTCACTTCATATCGTATTGATGGTGGCTATCTTGGATTTCGATGCGGCAGCCAGGGAGGCCATTTTGTAACATGATTGTGCAATCATGGTTTTCCTGTGCAACACTAATTTCACTTCTATGAAGTCCATTTCATTTCACCTCATCTTAGTCTCAGTAAAATGATAACACACTTTTCATCAATCTAATACGAATAGACCTGTAAGATCCTCTTTATACAACCCACCTTTTCCGAGGCAAGTAACTCTGTCGCAGCATTATCAGCATCTCCAGCTTGACCAGAAGTTGTCTCCCCTTCTACAGTGATTGCTACATTATCTGGAGTCAATGATGGCGACGCTGCTGATGTATTAACCTTTGAGGGTCCCTTTGTGCAATTTTCATTGCGGCCAACGATGAAGTAAGTCTTGATCACTACGAAGTAAACAAACATATTAGATATCTGGAAGAATGTTTTAAACCAAGTAACTTATAAAGCTCTCAGAATTATAATGACTTTCAATTGACGTTGACATTACAAAAGGTGACTTTATTGTTTTTCTAAAAAATTTACTGATTTTCATGTCACAACCTTTTTCATTTTTGCTTCTAATTTTGGATACAACCATTCATCCTTGAACCTTTTTTAAAATCTATGATCTGTCAATCCCAGGATGCAAGAGGCTATTGTAAACTTCCACTATGGCTTCCGAAGTAACCACCAAAAATACAGAAGACATTGTTTTTCATATCAAAATGTATAATTAAATAAATCAACAAGAAAATTATTTTCATTTCAGTCTAATCCTGTATACAGTTGCTAATGATGGTTCTTGACAATCTGTTTCAGTCATGAACGTGTGATGGACAGTTACTTGTTAAAAATTGTTACTGACCTCTCGTACTGGTATACGGGTATCCTTGGTTTAAATAATAATTTTTAAAAATTTTTCCTGGAAGCATGACATGTTACAGCAACCAAAATGATCAGGGTGTGAGGTCACACCGCTCAATAGTGCATTTTATTGATCTCGACAAAATGTCTAGACGATACACTTCATTTTTTTTCCCTCTTTCTGCCAAAATTTTTTTTCATCCTTATATAAGCCCCCCTCTCCCACCTCATCTCCATTCCTTTTCTTTCTAACTACCTCCATTAAAGATGACAAATATAAGTTCCAACTCTTTCACCTAGCTGTTACAATTTGTCCCACCCCCAATGACAGTATCGGTTTCTGTCTAGCAGGCTGTTCTAACCTTTCTCATCCTCCCTGTGTTTGACCTGGTACAGTCCGGTCTGCACGTTGTAATCTTCTACCAACACCTTGTGTGTCCTGTTGTCTGTCAAAATACAAATAATTACAACAATGTATTACATTGTATGTTCTACTAAAAATAATACATTGTATTACACAGACTGTCGACCAAGTCTCCTTCAAAATAAAGGAGGAATATAGGTATATTTTTTCAACAAATATAGGAGTTTTGTTTGATAGTTTTGAGGCAAAACATAGGAATTTTCCAAACCAAAATCATTTCATTCAAAGGCATTTATACTAACAGTTCTTCTGTATAGCTCATCATCATCTGAATGGGCACTTAAAAGGCCAATATCCTGTTGTACTGCCTTGCAAGGTGCCCATACAGGTGATAAAGAGATGAACTGAGTCATTTTCTGGTGGCTGGTGATGCTGTTGAAGACTTAAGAATTCTCTAACTTGTAAAATAAAGAAGCCGAAAGCAGTATCAAAGAAATATTTACAATCTCTACATTTATCGGCGACAAATTTCCTGGAAAATATGGGAATATTTTTCAAAAAATAGGAAATTATAGGAAATATAGGTCTTTCAAAGTATAGGTTTCTGAACCAAACTATAGGAAAATATAGGAATCAGCTGACAGTCTGTATTACATTGTAATCTTATACCAACACTTTTATGTCTTGTTTGTCAAAATACAATACAAGGAAACTTTGTATTACATTGTGCAAAAAATGCAGCCATTGTAATGGAGTGTATGAACATGTTTATGAAATAGAACACAGTGTGTAAAAATATAACAACAGATACATTGTATTTTTCTGTCATGGATTTTATCTTGATTATTAAGAACTGAATTTCAAGATGTTTAAAAGGTATAAAAGTTGCTTTATTACAAAAAGTTCAATGTAACAGCACTCCCACAGGTAATACAGTGATTATAGAAACAGTGTTAATATGATAGGACAAGGAATGGTGTTACTATGGTAACACAAGGAACAGTGTTACTATGATAACACAAGGAACAGTGTTACCATGATAACACAAGGAACAGTGTTACTATGGTAACACAAGGAACGGTGTTACTATGATAACACAAGGAACGGTGTTACTATGGTAACACAAGGAACGGTGTTACCATGATAACACAAGGAACAGTGTTACCATGATAACACAAGGAACGGTGTTACTATGGTAACACAAGGAGCAGTGTTACCATGATTACACAAGGAACAGTGTTACTATGGTAACACAAGGAATAGTGTTACCATGATAACACAAGAATAGTGTTACCATGATAACACAAGGAATAGTGTTACCATGACAACACAAGGAATAGTGTTACCATGATAACACAAGGAATAGTGTTACCATGATAACACAAGGAATAGTGTTACCATGACAACACAAGGAATAGTGTTACTATGGTAACACAAGGAATAGTGTTACCATGATAACACAAGAATAGTGTTACCATGATAACACAAGGAATAGTGTTACCATGACAACACAAGGAATAGTGTTACCATGATAACACAAGGAATAGTGTTACCATGATAACACAAGGAATAGTGTTACCATGACAACACAAGGAATAGTGTTACCATGATAACACAAGGAATAGTGTTACCATGATAACACAAGGAATAGTGTTACCATGATAACACAAGGAATAGTGTTACCATGATAACACAAGGAATAGTGTTACCATGATAACACAAGGAATAGTGTTACCATGATAACACAAGGAATAGTGTTACCATGATAACACAAGGAATAGTGTTACCATGATAACACAAGGAATAGTGTTACTATGGTAATACAAGGAATAGTGTTACCATGATAACACAAGGAATAGTGTTACCATGGTAACACAAGGAATAGTGTTACCATGAAACCTCAACTATGGAGTGGAAAAAAACTTTATGCCTTCGCTGCAGGATATATATATATATACCTGACAAGTTGGTGTTTTAAACAAGTCTCTATTCTGACCATTCTTGAAGCTATTTTGTCTGTATGTTGTAGATCAGAAATGTATTGTCTAGACAGTACCCCTATCAAGCTAGAGACCAGTCTAGTCCAGATCTTTATTGCTATGTATAGATTCTAATGGTAAACCCACTGGTCAGTTGACATATGTCTCTAGTGGCATAGAGGATGTTTTTTCCAGAAATAAAAATATTTTGATATATCACCATCTGCCACAAAGACAAAGACATGTTTACAGCAATCAAGGTCATATGTTACTAACTCAGGGCAGAAGGCATGGACAAAAGCTACGAGAAGGAATACCAATTAATTCAAGAGTATATAGGAAACAGATCAATAAACAGAAGAGTACCATGGAGAAAGACTAATTAATACAAGAGTGCTGAGGAAATTGATTGACTTGTTAAAGGTCATGTTGACACGAAAAGTTTAACACAATCAGCAATGATCAATGAAAATCGACCTAAATTGTCACAGAAATGATCCTTAATCCAGTTCTAATTACATATCTATCTAAACTCTCACAGAAATGATCCTTAATCCAGTTCTAATTACATATCTATCTAAACTCTCACAGAAATGATCCTTAATCCAGTTCTAATTACACATCTATCTAAACTCTCACAGAAATGATCCTTAATCCAGTTCTAATCACACATCTATCTAAACTCTCACAGAAATGATCCTTAATCCAGTTCTAATTACACATCTATCTAAACTCTCACAGAAATGATCCTTAATCCAGTTCTAATTACACATCTATCTAAACTCACAGAAATGATCCTTAATCCAGTTCTAATTACACATCTATCTAAACTCTCACAGAAATGATCCTTAATCCAGTTCTAATTACATGTCTATCTAAACTCTCACAGAAATGATCCTTAATCCAGTTCTAATTACATGTCTATCTAAACTCTCACAGAAATGATCCTTAATCCAGTTCTAATCACATATCTATCTAAACTCTCACAGAAATGATCCTTAATACAGTTCTAATCACATATCTATCTAAACTCTCACAGAAATGATCCTTAATCCAGTTCTAATCACACATCTATCTAAACTCTCACAGAAATGATCCTTAATCCAGTTCTAATCACACATCTCACAGAAATGATCTAAACTCTCACTAAAGAAATGATCCTTAATCCAGTTCTAATCACACATCTATCTAAACTCTCACAGAAATGATCCTTAATCCAGTTCTAATCACACATCTATCTAAACTCTCACAGAAATGATCCTTAATCCAGTTCTAATTACACATCTATCTAAACTCTCACAGAAATGATCCTTAATCCAGTTCTAATTACACATCTATCTAAACTCTCACAGAAATGATCCTTAATCCAGTTCTAATTACACATCTATCTAAACTCTCACAGAAATGATCCTTAATCCAGTTCTAATCACATATCTATCTAAACTCTCACAGAAATGATCCTTAATCCAGTTCTAATTACACATCTATCTAAACTCTCACAGAAATGATCCTTAATACAGTTCTAATTACATGTCTATCTAAACTCTCACAGAAATGATCCTTAATCCAGTTCTAATTACACATCTATCTAAACTCTCACAGAAATGATCCTTAATCCAGTTCTAATTACACATCTATCTAAACTCACAGAAATGATCCTTAATACAGTTCTAATTACACATCTATCTAAACTCTCACAGAAATGATCCTTAATCCAGTTCTAATCACACATCTATCTAAACTCTCACAGAAATGACCTTAATCCAGTTCTAATTACATATCTATCTAAACTCTCACAGAAATGATCCTTAATCCAGTTCTAATTACATATCTATCTAAACTCTCACAGAAATGACCTTAATACAGTTCTAATTACATATCTATCTAAACTCTCACAGAAATGACTAAACTCTCACAGAAATGATCCTTAATCCAGTTCTAATTACATATCTATCTAAACTCTCACAGAAATGATCCTTAATCCAGTTCTAATTACATATCTATCTAAACTCTCACAGAAATGATCCTTAATCCAGTTCTAATTACATATCTATCTAAACTCTCACAGAAATGATCCTTAATCCAGTTCTAATTACACATCTATCTAAACTCTCACAGAAATGATCCTTAATCCAGTTCTAATTACACATCTATCTAAACTCTCACAGAAATGACCTTAATCCAGTTCTAATTACATATCTATCTAAACTCTCACAGAAATGATCCTTAATACAGTTCTAATTACACATCTATCTAAACTCACAGAAATGATCCTTAATACAGTTCTAATTACATGTCTATCTAAACTCTCACAGAAATGATCCTTAATACAGTTCTAATCACATATCTATCTAAACTCTCACAGAAATGATCCTTAATCCAGTTCTAATTACATATCTATCTAAACTCTCACAGAAATGATCCTTAATCCAGTTCTATTGATATACCTCAGAAAATACACATAGTAATATTTATAACTGTGATACTCAACTGAGGATGACTTGTAAAAAAGGTCTCTCCATTGTTTAAAATTAAGAACTAATTATGTATCAGTATGTATTTCTTGTATAATGTCAAATGGCTATACTTGAACTGTATTTTTGTTTCCTGCATCAAGCTCTTCAGGAAAAAGCTCCATTTTCTGTGGGGCAACATACTCATCTGGTTTTAAAGCACCACCTCCCTATCCCTTAAACATACATCCATGAGCATGGAGCATTCCCATTGTGTTTTGTGTACAAGAACTGTCCTACTATGAAGTTCCAACATTGCAGTACAATGAGTTTTAGGAAATAATGCAACAAACCCTTATACTAACATACAATTAGAAGATATACACAAAAAAAAGTAGCTTTCTTCTGAACCTGACAAATATTTGGGAGCCGTGTCAATTTTAGGAATTACGTCCATGATAATGACAGATTCTACATATCTGATTAAAGTTAAACCTCACAGCAATGCAACAACACAACAGAAGGCGATCTTATCCTTTATGTGCACAACTTGCAAGAAAAGTAGTGTCTGATATTTTTACAACCTGGGCATTTATTGTAGAAACACATGGATACAGAACATTCCAGAAATTACACAGAAATATAAGTTA